AGGGGCTTGGCCCCCTGCACATCAGGGAGCGCTGCTCTCATCGGAAGCTTAGCCTGCGTCAATCATTATAATCTAGCGCGGATATATTATATCTTACGATCTACTATAACCTTCTATAATACACTACAATCTACTATAACATCCGATAACATACTATAACATACTACAATCTACTATAGGGGTCTCCAGGGACCCAACAATGTGGATGCTGCAAACTACTGGCACATGTCTGCCTTGCAATCTTTGCATCCTTCAACACACAAGTAATAGGTTGCACACATGTTGAAAAATAAACAACAAGGTACGAGTCCATGCCAGAACAAACATGAGCTGTAGTCTAGACTCCTGGTATCCCCCTTAATTTACCCTACAGTAGTCCCCTGTATAATCCCCTATATAACCACCCTTTAAGGAGTTCAGACTATAGCTCACATGGCTTGTTTGCGCAGCTTGCAATGCGGCTGCACGCCGTGAAGGTCTGCCCACCCCATGCGCCAGCCTCTGCAAGGACTGCGCTGCCGCTTTCCACAGTCACCTCCACTCCACAGACACAATAATCCATGATAATATCCTATAACATACTAGAAAACCCCACAATATACTACAATCTACGATAATATCCTATAACCTACTATAATTTTTTTCTACTATAACCTGGTATAATATCCGACAAGCTACTATAACCTACCATACTATCCTACAGATTACTATAATCTACTATAGTCTATCTACTATAATATCCTATAGTTGCCAATAATAGACTATGATCTATGATGAACTACCACAACATCCTATAATATTCTAGAATACGCTATAATCTACCATGCTCTACTAGAATATCCTGAACCCTAAACCCTGAACCCTGTAATATCCTAGAATGGAGCCCAGGCCCACCGAGCAGGTGAATCTACAGTCACATCTGCGTTTTAAGCAGCTGATCCTAGGACAGACACAAACGCAGCAGGAACCAACAACTTACTGGAGGATAGTTGGAATATGGGAATGTGTTGTAGGGTTTGGGGTGTAGGGTTTAGGGTTTTAGGGGTTTAGGGTTAGTAGGGAATATGGAAATATGTTGTAAGGTTTGGGGTTTAGGGTTAGGGTTCAGAGGATTAGGGGCTTAGGGTTAGTAGGGAAGATGGGAATGCGTGGTATGGGGGTTATGTGGGATAATACTCCCTCAGTCCCTACTAAGAACCGCCAGTAAACCGAAGCTTGGAAACAAAGATAAGATGCGACCCAGCCGAGGCAAGCTTGAATGCCTTAACCGCTGGGCAGCTGGAAAACCACGGCACCACAAGTAAGTACCAACATCACAAGTCATACTGCCTGGTGCTGCTCTTTCTTCGGCAGACCCTTTTCAAAGCCTGGTTGCAGGAGTCCCCTTCAGAAACAACGTCTGTGGATGCTGGATGCAATTAATTTCATGTCCATCTCGGACCTACTACAACGGAGGCTTGCTCAGCTCAGAGACCCTCGGGGTATCGAGTTGCGCTGGGGCAAGCGCTCAGGGAACCTAAAACGGAACGGGCCATCACAGCAGCAGCTGCAGCAGCTGCAGCACTGTCTGCTTGGCTCGCTCTGAATGCCCGCAACGGCCGCATCCTGTGGCCGCTGACTGGTGCGAAGTGCCCTTCGCGCATGGGTCAACCTCGATCTTGCAAATCTTGAGATCGTTTGCCCCACCCACTTTGTTGCCGGCATCGTAGTCCCCATACCTAAACGCTCGGGAGAGTGCAACCTGATCACCGACATGTGCTCCGTGCCCTTGCATGCCAAGCTCGCCAAGACGTTTGGCTTCTGCCGCGAAAAGCAGCGGAACACCTCCCAGAAAAGAACATCGTTCTTTTCTGGCTCTTTTCTGTGGAATGTTCCGCTGATAATGCTGTGAGCGTGTTACTTGTAGACTGCCAGGCAGTTCTGTGCAAAGACGGGAATGTTGCCGCCCGTGCCGAGAATTGCCCGACCATCTCCGAGATGTCCAATCCACCACTCTTTGCCTTTCATGAGCACCAGACACGCTTAAGCTACCAGTACTGTTACAGAGGATATCTTCAGATGCCGCGTTTCGCGTGCTCCGCCTAAGAGGGTCTTTGCGTCATGTTGTGACCTCTGCGTCTACTTGCTTTGAAGCCCTTGCAAATGGCTGTTTCTACATCATGTTATTCGTGAACATGAGTTGCAAGGGTTGCGGGCTTCCTCTCCAGCGTGCCCGTCACATACAGTAAACACGCGCAAGATTCTTGGCCACCGCCCAGCCATAATCTGCACCCTCACCGCTTCCTTCTTTAGGCAGCATGGGGGTATGCTTACCTCTGCCTATGATGTGCAAAAGCGGCTGAAAGCCCCCTACATGGCGATCGGTGCTCAAGCAAGTGCCTAGCTGAGAGCCATGTCGCAGCATTCGCGAGCAAGCCCCGGCATGGTTAGAGAGCACTGGGAACTACGAAGGATGGAGGAAATCTTGCACCTTAGGATCCCTGACATACTGTAACTATTGCGGTATAAGGTATATAGGGTGGTGCAAGATTTCCTCCCTCTAAACCCTAAACCCTAAACAATAGGAACACCACAGTCTGGATCACGCCGATGATGCACGCTGGCCTTGATTTGATCGGCGCTGCAAAAGTTCAAGGCCCGCAACAGCATCTCCTGCCAAATGGGTTTAAGGTTTAGGGTTTAGGGTTTAGGATGCAAACATTGAGAACACCGAGTGGTATCCTGCAGCGTGAGGTTCGAAGAAGCTAAGAAGCTGCTACTGTATGTGTTGCTTCAAAAACTCCGGATTTCTTAGCCACATGTTGGCTTGGGACTCTCCATGACTTTCCATCACAAATCCCTGCGGCGCGCAGAAAGTTTTGCACTGATTGCTCCCTCAATCGCTTCACGGCGCACCAATCCATGCGCAGCTCTTTTGAGCTCATGCGCCAGACCAGAGCCCACATGTTCAAGAACGTGCACAGAAATCATGAAGTATGATGGTACGAAAGCTGCGTGAGCTCCCTGACACAGACGAATTCAAGTCTTTATTATTGGATTTATTTGTAATCCATCTAGAACTAAGTCCAGCTTATGTGCAGTGCGGGAACACTGTGAGACGGTACTGCACAAAGGCTGAGCATGCGGTCTGTACAGTATATCTGCTCCTGACATCCAAGTACCAAAAGGACCTGTTTCATACTGGTACCTTCATTTGCACCTGGCAAGTCAGACGAGTAGCTGGTACTTGGACTCTTCAAACTGCGACTCAAATGAGGCAGCAAACTTGCTGCCCTGCCATGTTCGGAGCAGATGTAAAGAACACGGCCCGACCAACCCCCACACCTCCCACTTCAGAGCAGCTTGTTCTGGTGAAAGGGAAATTGTGGCCCAGGACCGCTTGCATGTTAAGCATTACAAACTATTCCAACGCTGTAGCGCGACACTTCATCAAACTTTCTTCGCAGAGCCTACTTGCAGTCTGCACATCTCTGCACGGAGCTGTGCAAAACTTCTGCGTCGGAAGCCGTTCACGAGCCTCCAACACTGCCACTGCCAAGCTTTTCACTCCCGGGATTGCGTAAGCCTTCCCTCAGCTCTCCAACCTGGAGCAGAAAAACGCGCAGAGGCTACTATAACCTACTATACTATCCTGAAGTTTGCTAGAATCTACTATAGTATATCTACTATAATATCCAAACAGCATTCTAGAATACACTATAATCTACTGTGATCTGCTATAACCTCCCATAATATTCTATAATATCCTGTATTGTCTACTATGGGCTATTTGCGTGGTAAGACCACTCATCTCTGATCTGCCTTTCTTGGAGGGTCGGGGGGCCTTAGTAGCTATAGGGTTTTGGGTTTAGGGCATAGGGTCAGGGGACTTAGTAAGTATAGGGTTTAGGGTTTAGGGCTTGGAGTTTAGGGTTTAGGGTCAGGGGTACTTAGTACGTAGGGTAATAACCCCCGTAATCGATTTAGAATCCCTAGTTAGCCCATTTATTAACCTACCTGCTGAGTCCCCCCTAAACCCTAAACCCTAAATGACATATATTAGCTTCCATGTTCTTTCCATTATTCACCTACTTACTGAATCCCCCTGATCCCCCCCCCTCGGACCCTCCAAGTTTGCTGTGATTGGTGCTAGAACCCCTAAACCCTAAACCCTAAACTCTAAACCCTAAACCCTAAACCCTAAACCCTAAGCCCTAAGCCCGAAGCCCTAAACCCTAAACCCACCTTGGTGCCTCCTGCAGATGAAGCTGGCAAACGGCTGCTATGCTTCACGGGTCAATACAGTCAATGCCCAATACAACCGTGGAATTGCTGGAAATTAACAGGCCACTGGAATTCTTCTCCCCAGGGTTGGTGACTTTGTTCTAGACTTGGGATTCCTACTCTTGGTGGCTGAGGTTCCTGAGGTTATTTTTAATAGCCCTTCGGACTTCCGGAGGTTTAGGGCTTAGGTTTTATGAGTTGATCCGTGATGGTCACAGGCGATGGCTACAATAGCCTGGATAGCGCCCCCTTTCAAGTCTAGCGTTCACAAGTGGGGCGAAATCCCAGACCACAGACATGACTTACAGCAACGGTTTTCGCAGATGACGTGCAAGGAAGCCCACGCTTAAACAGAAGCCCAGCAGAGTTTCTGGCTGCCTTCTGCAACAAGCCTGCTGTGTAGTCCGTCTTCTGCGATACCTGCATCGCACTTAGGCTTTTGCAAGGCTGCACAACCATGGACGCAACAAAACACGCTAGCCCCGTCTTTGAAGGCCTGCTTTCAGTTGGTTACGGTTTGTCATCAATCTTCTATGCAGTCTGTCATAGCAAGCCGATGCAAGTGCCTCATGCTGCGCGTCCTCAGCAACCTGACAGGTGCAGAGTAAACATAATGATTATCGTTAATATTATTGTTGTTATGCTTAATATTCTTGAGGCTTGTATTATGAATATTCTTAACTAGTATTGTCTACGTCATTGTTTTTATCCCCTGCAAGGCAGACACTCTCAGCAGCCGTGCACGTGCAAACTCGCTTGTTTCGCTGCAACCATAGATCGTCCTGGTAGATCTTTCCATGCAAAATGTAGCGGCGCATAGCAGCAGCATCTTTCAGACTATGACCCCGAATAGTACTACCCACAAACCCAAAGTTCACAAGCTGCTCAAAAATCTCAGCTCCACTCTGAGTTGTGTAGCCCGTATGGCGCCACCACATGGGAGTGACCTCAACAACCATGTTCGAAACCTGCCAATGCTGCAAAATCGGCAGCATTGCTTCCAGTATCTGCAGCTCGTTGCCCTCTGTATCTATTTTGATTAGCTGTATCTTGCTGCTGTCAGACAAGCCCACCAATGTCAGCATATCGGACACTGGAAGGAATGGGATCTGCAACGCTGTCTGGGAGTCCGCAGACCCTGCATCAGAGCCATATGCGTCTTTGTGCCCACGCTCTGCGTTCTCGATCGGAAACCTGCCTGAGCAATGGTTGTCAGCTCGTACTGCCAGTGACTTTGCCCCATCCTCCTTTCGACCCACAGGCTGCTGCACACGCTTGACCTTGCGCTCATCCAGGCCACTCTCGCGGATAGACCATGATATCAAGGCATTGCATTCCGGCTGCGGCTCCACAAAAACAACTGCACAGCCCTTCTCCAGCGCCAGTAAGCCGTAGAAGCCGGTGTTTGAGCCAATGTCCAGGACCACAGCCCTCTCCCACGCTTCATCGGGTGACATGTCCTCGCGGCAGACATCCAGCGTTTCGTGGAAGATGTCCTGTACAAACTGCTCGCCCCGACTCTTTAGCCAAGCAAACATACCGCCCTTGACATCAAACATGGTGAAGTGTGAGCTCGGGTGTTCAACGGTTTGGCCATGATGGCGGATGACTTCGCCCATGTCGTGGCGCTCGGCGTTTGCTGGGATACTTACCCTAGGTGGTGCAGACAATCTTGTGCTGTCTGGCGCAAAAGGCTCCTTGTGACCCACTTGCTTCATGTAAAGGGAGGCAACGTGCCCACTTCTCCACAGCACCAGGAGAAGCAGTTGTGAAGCAACGACGAGCAAAACCAAGAAACGTCGAGAGCGAAGCCCGATACAAAGCACGGACTCAGAGTGCTCCAGGCGCCGACCAGATTCTAGATCATCATTGCTCATGGTCGCAGATGCAAAAGGAAAATCAGCAAAAGGCAAAAGATGAAGCTTGAGGTACACGCTCCGGCAGGTAATAAGGCCTTTAAATACCCCTCCTCCTCAGCAGACTTAAACGTGAAGGGTTGCATGGGCAAGGGTGGTGGAAGCTCTCTCACTTCGCAGCTGCTGGAATGAACTGGTTGATTCCAAATCCCAACATGCTTTTGCAAGTGAAAACTTGCCGAAATCAAGGCTATCCTAGGCCATCCCTCTACCATCAGGGCTTCGGATCATCTGCCACAAGAATAATAGTTACCCTTGAATAGATAGAATATGGGGTATATGGGGATCTCATTATGATTTGGGGGTATTAAACCCAAACCCTAAACCTTAAGAGGGAGTATCTCCAGGGAATTGGAAGGCCAGAACTCTGCATACTTCTGGCCCAGCCAGTTGCCCATCCTGAACATCATAGCATCTTCCCCCTCAAGTAGATAGAATATGGGGACATGGGGAACTTATTATAACACACCAAAAGCCATATTCTATCTACGGAAGGGGGACTGTATCCACGACATCAGCCTTCCAGCAGCAACAAAGAGCCAGCCCTTTATGATTTTCAGGTTTGGGTTTACTTGCCTCCAACTCACGCGACGGTGGTGGTTCACTCTGGGAGCGCTCGCGGTGGAAGCCGTCGATGGCCTCTTCTTGAATCATGGGGGGATAGAGGTGCCTTGAAACTGGGCCCTTAGGGACCCCAGAAATATATGACCGCACATAGGAATCAGATTGTAAGGGGAATGTAGGGTGGGAAATGTTTTGGGAAACTCCAATATCAAACCCCATGTCAAGTCAATTGGACTGGGTCGGCTATGTCTACTGACAATGCTGTCGAGCAATGCCGAAGACAGGGATACAGTTCCATCAGCCATCCATTTGAGATTACTGTACGCTGGTGGGTGGATTCGATGCCATTTCACCGTTCCAGTCTGGCTTCCAGTCAATTCGGACAGCACCACCACCTAAACCCTGAATCCTGAACCCTAGACCCTAGACCCCTCAACCCCAAACCCCTAAACTCTACTCACAGCAAGCTCTTACCCACCTTACCAGGACACGTCAATCTAGGATGACCACCGTCATTGTTTAGGGTGGATGGCATGTAGGTTCGCAAAAACGTTCATTGCATGACTCAGCATGGTCGCGCCTCCTGGGCATTCAGAAAACTGTGCTTGTAATGGAGCTCCATGGGGACGGCTACTTCCATGTAGGCTGAAAACTTCTGGCAGTCACAGAGACTGCACTTGTTAAACGGTTAAACGGGAACTTGAGCCAAATGCTTTCTTGCCTCGACTGAACACCTTAGTGCTTCCCAGAGCTTGATTTCTGGGAACCCGTCTGTACTTCAGCTCTCTCACGTTCTGGTAAGCAAGCTTACCTCATCCAGAGCCATAGCGCGAACACACTACAGCAACATGGCTCAAACAAGGCAAAATGCATTCGTCTCCTCCCTGAAGGTGGCCGTGCCAGTTTCTTCATGAACAGGTACTGCTACCTGGCAAGACGATTCAGCTACATCAGGTCCTGACTGCACCTGGATGCGGGCCTGCAGATTGAAAACAATCAAAACTAGGTATGGAGCATGGCCATACTGAGCTACCCCGACCATTGCACACCCCCCACCTTGGTCCGGACGGGACGCTCGAGGCAAATACAGGACAACCTGGACAGTGGGCTTCACTCTGTGGCAAGGATAAGCTTGGCATCATTGTGTTCCGGAAACAGGTCAGGAATGCCCCACATGTAGTGAGCCCAGTGATCGGCTGGAATTGCCTTGTGGGCGAGGCGAAGCCAATCTTCTCGGATCTAACCAGATGCCAGTTGATGAGGCGCGTGCAAGCACATCCCGAGCAAGAGAACACGCATGGCGAATAACCTGGCTCCAGCGTTTGGGGGCCCACTTCTGGCTTTGGGTTGTTGCAACGTCTGCCACTTTGGGTCCATGTCTGATCTTGGGATTCCCAAACTTGGGGGGGGCCCTTACGGTAAGGATCTTTATATTGGGGGAAGACAAGAGGGACCCTAACTTTGGAAACTATCATGTACTGGGTAGGGCTTTAGAGGTCGCCAAAATTATTCATGAATAGTTTCCCTTATACAACAGGATGGAAAAGGGTGAAGTATCCCAAGGTGCCGACTAGTCTCTCTTAGTGGTGACAAGTCATGCGACCCTGCACCCGAAGCCCTAAACCCCAAACCTAAATCCTAAGAGCCCTGAACCCTTAACCTTAAACCCCAAATCCTAAGTCCTAAACCCTAAATCCAAAATCCTAAGCCCAA